TCGGGTGTTTTCTGAGGGGTTAATTCTGGCAGGGCTGGATCCGAGGCGCTCCTGGCAGCCTTTGCGATGTACCCACCCCTCCTTTCTGTGCGTTAAGCCGCTGTGTAGCAACAGCCCTGTTGCAAGGCCTGGAAATGCATCAAGACACCAGAAGATCGCCTGCCTCGGATGGCACTGGCCTTCTGCAGCGCCTGGTTCTTCCCTCTGCCTGTGTGAGAGGAAAACTGTTGTGTCAACGGCCTCTGCTGCTGCCTGTCGCTCCTGGTTCTTCTCTCATCCTGCGTGTGTCCTTGCAGCCTCGCTGTGGGAAGGCCGAGAGCTGCCTGTCGTAGCTGCTACACGGCATTAGGCATCTGATCAAAGCCTGGACAGGTAAGGTGGTAGAGTAACAGCTTCCACAGACCAGTTGGGGGTGGGGGGTGGAACCCAAACTCTTCCAAAGAGGAGGTGACAAGGTTCAGAATCAGCAACAGGCAGCCTGAGAGCAAGGCTCTTCGGTTACTTTACACCATCATTCAACAGGACAATTTGCCCTTTGACGTTGTACAAGTCAGTGTCTTACAAAGACTGAACATTTGGGGGTTTTTTAAGTAAGCGTCTGTGATTTCCTGTGCACCAGCACGCTCCTTGTGGCACTGAGTAAGCAGAAACATGCTTGTTCTTGGTCACTCCGAAAAGCTTATTACAGTATATAGTGCTGCTAGTGTTACTTTGATTCCTTAAATACTGGAAACCATTTACATTAGTAACTTAAATCCTAGGAACCTCAAATAGCTTAATCCAAAAGGAGCCCAGCTTGGAGCTGTTACATGCTCCACGGAAGAGGTCTAAGAAAAGACAGATATTATTTTCGTTTATTCTACGGGTACCTGCCAATCAAAATGTTATGGACGCTTGTTTAAACCAAATACTTTATCTTCAGAGAATCACTTTATTACAGGGAAGTATTCCTAAGCATGTAGGTGGTGGAATATTTTCCATAGAGATACTCTGACAAGAGGAGCAAACACAGCATTGGATAGTCTGTAATCATCCCCGGTTGCTGTTAGCCTTGGCAACAAGCAGCTCCTTCTAATGAAAAGTACTTTCAGACGCACAGATAACTTGATCCAGCTGAAGTCAGGTAAGTCTGTACCAGTCTTTGGTGGAAATCCTATTTGGCCAGAGTTTGCTTTCAGTCTGCTGGCCAGGGCACCTCAGGTAGCTGCTTTGCCATAGGACTGGAACACGATGGCTATGGAATGTCTTTGCTTCCCATAGACGTGCCAGTTCGACCCACCAAATCTGTAGGTTAATATATACCGGAGATAGTTTGCTTAGCAGTCACGTGGGGAGGAAGGTAATTGCTTCCAAGATGCCTGTTGTCTGGGCAAAACAGAAGGGATATGCTAACTACGGAAAAAGATGTAGCAAAGGCAGTAGGTTGTCCTCCTGCCCAGCAGTGAAAGGAGTAACAAAGCTTAAATTGTAGTGAGGGAGATTTTGGTTAGCAAAAAGCAGTGGAGTAGCTTGTAGAATCTCCATCCTACTCTAATTAACTACAGTAATAATTCTTGTTAAGGGGAGGACCAGATAAAGTGTAGAGCCTTTCAGTTCTAGCTGGTCCTGCCGTGGCAAAATCGGAAGGATCGGGTGTTCTTGTGACGCCACTGGCGTGCTCCCCTCCTGCGGTTCTGCAGTAAAGCACCCGGGATGGGGACCAGTGCCTGCCTGACAGGTAAACGTTGTATCTCGCCTTTCACTGACCCACACCGTCCCTTTGAAGGCTGACAAAATTGAACGGGACCTTTTAGTTACAGAAGGAAAACGTGCTCACACGTAGCAGTTCTGTCAGTGACCACAGCCCGGGGATATTAGAACAGCGTGAGACACACGTGACTTACAGGGAGAGAAGAGTGCCGGTACTCCTCCTGCTTGGGGCTGCCTCCTGGTCCTGCTCCTGACCGCACCGAGCGCCACCTAACCGAGGTCAGGACGTGTCCTGAGATGCGGTGGTGGCTGTGCCCGGACTGGAGTGGCACCACTTCGTTCACTGCCCCTGCCCCAGTCTGCCAGCTCTCATAAAATGCTGATTTTCTTCAAATTTTGTTTTCTAGAACAAAGGCATTCTAGAGAAAACATAACTAATGCCTCTTCTCTGCTTCTGCTGAGCGCCCTGATGGTCCTCAGCCCTGCCCTGCTGGCTGGGGGTCAGTCCCTGGGCTGCTCCTGGAGTAGGAAAGAAACTGAACTGTTGGTGCCTGATCACCTGCCTTGCTCTGCTCTTGGGGATTTGTTTTAAGCAAAATTTGCATCCATTTAACCAGCAGCAGCCTTAAGTTCTGCCTTCTAAATAGAGCACGGGACAGTTTGCATTCTTCTAAGGTTCACTGAAAATGCTGGATGTTTCAACCTGAACCGATCAAACACAGCAGTGCTTGACAGAGAATTCATTCGACTTCCTCAACGTTTTCAGGTAACCAGCTCTGTGCCGACGTGTAGGTACGGCGGTAGATGGAGGTTTTAGCTGTTGGATTCGGTCAGTGGCGGTTTTTGATCACCGTAGTTAGTATTCTGTCTAAAATGATCAAGCAGTAAATAAACACACTGGCATGTCTGTGAAGCGCACATCTTGCAGATCTTTTCTCAAGCTGCCCTTGTCCTGAGAATTTAACATGTGTTGGCAACTTTATCACAATCTCAAATAATGGAAGTTAAGAACACAGCTTTGGGAACGGAGCTTTCGCTGGTGCAGCGATCGCTGATGTTTATCCTCATGTAAAAATGTCTTGGTTCAGGTAAAATTAAAAACACGTAACTGGAGGTACGATCGCTCTTTACATCTCCCTGATGACTGGAGCAAGGCAAATGTCGCACCCATCTTCAGAAAAGGCCAAAAGAATGATCTGGGAAACCACGGGCCAGTTGGTATCACTTCAGTCCTTGGGAAAATCACGGAGGAAGCCATTTCAGAGCGTGTTTTTGGGCACATGCAGGAGAAGGTGATGGGAACAGTTAGCATGGATTTACTGAGGGTAAATCGGACTGACTCACCTGCCTTCTACAACAAAATCACCTTGTGGGCAAGGGAAGGAGCAGTGGATGTTCTCTGCCCGGACTTCAGCAAGGCGTTCAGTGCTGTCTCGCACAATGTTCTTGTACCCCAGTTAGGGTGCTACAGCCCAGGTAACAGATGGTTGGATGTTCAGGCCCAGCATCGTGGTCAATGGGGTGGAGCGGGGTATCACAGGGGCCTGTCCTGGGCCCTGGCCTGACACCTCTCTCAAGGACCTGGAGGCAGCAGCAGGGTGCCCTGTCAGCAGATTTGGGGATGACACAGAGCGGGAGGACCAGTCGCCACGCTTGGGGCAGCGCTGCCATCCAGAGGGACCGAGGCAGGCTGGGCAGGAACCTGATGAAATTCAGCAAGGAGAAGGGCAGAGGCCTGCGCTGCCAAGGAAGAAGCCCTCGCAGTGAGAGCCTGGGGGTGGCTCAAATGCCTCTGGGGCCTTGGCATGAGCCAGCAGATCTCGGGCTGCTTGAACAGGACCATAGCATGTAGCTGAGGAGAGTATCCCCCTCAGCAGACCTCCCCTTGGCTGCTGCAGGCAGTTCTGGGTCCCATCGCCCCTCCATACAGGGAGGACATCGCTGCCAAACTTGAGTAAGTTCAGCAGAGGGCTGACAGGCTCCAGTCAGGGGCTGGAGCGTGTGCTTGGGAGGAAAGGCTGAGGGAGCAGGGCTTGTTCAGCCCAGAGAAGGGAAGGCTTTGGGGAGGCCTAACAGCAGCCAGCCAGTGCCTACTGGGAAGTTACCAGTAAAATCCACACTTTTCACAGCATGGCATAGGCAGGAGGATGGGAGACCCTGGGGCAGAAACTGAAAGGGTTAAGCTTTTTGAGGACCATGGAAATGCTCAGGGGGCTGGAGCAGCTCCCATGTGAGGACAGGCTGAGAGAGTTGGGGGTGTTCAGCCTGGAGAAGAGAAGGCTCCGGGGAGACCTTCTAGTGGCCTTCCAGTGTTGAAAGGGGGCTACAGGAAAGGGGGGGACTCTGTAGTGATAGGACAAGAGGTAATGGTTTTAAACTAAAAGAAAGTAGATTCAGACTAGATAAAAGGAAGAAATTTTTGTATGATGAGGGTGGTCAAACACTGGCACAGGCTGCCCAGAGCAGTGGCAGAAGCCCCATCCTTGGAAACTTTCAAGGTCAGGCTGGACGGGGCTCTGAGCAACCTGACCTGGCTAAAGATGTCCCTGCTCCCTGCAGGCGGTTGGACTAGACGGCCTTTAGAGTTCCCTTCCAACCCAAACTCTTCTATGATTTTTCCAGTCTGGGAGCAGTCAAGCAGTGGAAGAGTTTGCCCATAAAGGCCATGCAGTCTACACCCTTGGAGGTTTTCAAGACCACACTTGAGAAACATGGTTCTGAGCAACACAATCGTTCCACAGCCAGGGGCAAAGCGAGCTCCTGGGGTGTCTTTTAACAGGAATGATCCTGTGACCCCATGGCACAGAATCTGAGGACAGCAAGAGGTGGCCAAACAGCAGCAGCACACACTACTCCAGATCCAGTAAGCACCTCGTTACTGGAAAGCTGCCGTTCTCTAGTTCCATCCTTACAGGGCTGTACAATGAACCAAAACATAGGTTTTGGGGTTTTTTTTTGCTAAGAAAACACTACTGTTCTGAAGGAATTCTGTGACTCAACAAGCAATGACATGACAGGCTGCAAAGGCAAAAAAATCTGGCCCTCAGACAATGACTCTGAGAGCAAGTTTTTCCCCAGAAACCTAGTGGTGCTGGGTAACACAGAAGAGGGCAGGAAAAGGGCAAAAAGGAGTGTCACAGCTTTTGTTCACACAGGTTAAGGTTCCACCAGGTTTCTTGGGAAGAAACTATCCCAGGTACTCTCACCTTCTTCACAGGAATGCTACAGAAAAGAGTTGTTCAACAGCTGTTCTGCATCAACACACATGGCAGGGAGTTACTAAAAAGCCAAGACGCTGCAGCTCAAGCTAATTCCTTAAGTTGTTTATTTATCATTGAAGAAACACACAGCAGCAAGTTCTGTGTTGGCTTCAGTATGACCAGATAGTTAATCGTTGCTATCGCACCCCAAAAGTGAAGTCAACACAGCCATTACTACAAATCACTTTTTTGGAAGGGGAAAGAATTGACCCTGAAGACAAGAGAATTGGGGGAAAATTCAACAATTTCTCCAAAACCACACATTTTAAATATGACAATATTTATAAATCCTTGAAAGGCATGAATTATCCAGTAATGGAAAAAGCAGTTGTGATATTGGCAACAGAAAATACATAGCCGTATGCTTACCAAAACACTTAGAATTGTGAAAGCTTGAAATTTTGTGGCTGTACACTGCAGCAGTATACGTTACTGGAACAATGACTGCAGAATGGCCTCGTAGGCATTGTGTATTCAAGTAAATCTACAGAAAAGATCCCAGTGTAGCTAATCCTCATAACATTTATTGTATTTAATTCAAATTTAAACCACTTACTGAATTTATAGTGATAAAATACGTCTCTCACAAACCGCCTGCCCTCAAAGATACCTATGTAAAAGAGGGCTTATATATTTTTCCTATTTTTTTTTTTTTGGCTAATTATGGAAATTAATTTAGCTCTGCATTTTCAGTAATTCCACTGCGTGAACAGAGGTGTTTTCAAATGCATGTTCTGTGACGATAATACCCCATTCCAAATTAAGAAAGACTAAAAATAAAAAGGTCAGCCTGTTTTGGTGCGAGATAGAAGCATTACTCAAGACAGCTGTTGGGCTTGCTTCTTTTTATTTTAGCAACAAATGACCCACGAAATAAGCATCATTTGAAATTTCAAAACCTGGCAATTCAATTTCCAACCTTCTGCTGTGAGTTTTGTGCATGATCAATCTATATGAGTAAGTAATTCAAGCTCATGCTTTCATGTTACCTCAAAACATTTGTTAAAGAATTCCAATTCAGAATGTTTATAAGCACAAATATAATCCATGGATTCGATCAAATCAAAGCTAAAACATCGGTTAAACTCTGTGATTTTCACTTAACGTCGTACAGTGGTCCACCCTTCTTCATCTGTCTCGTTTTTAGTGCGGCGAAGGGGCTCACGCTCCTTTTCTGTTTTCCAGGAACCCTTCTCCTTCTCCCCGTCTCTTTCTCGATCTTTTGATGCTGGAGGGGGAGCAGAAGCTGGAGGAGCAGCGGGAGCAGGAGCTGATCGCCGAACTGGTTCACGTTCTTCTCCACGTTCTTCTCTCCTATCGTCAGCACGCCGCCACGAGCTCGCTGCAAACACGGAGAGACAATAAAACCTTGGTCAGGCTCCACCAGCACCTTGCCGGCGTTTGAACAAACACGCCCAGCACCGATGGTCTGACTGACTGATCCTCAGTCCCGCCCGGAGGCAGCGCGGTGGCGACAGCCAAACGCACAGGTTACTCCTATAGCAGAGCCATGGACAGGAACTACTCAAGCCTCTTTTTCAGATTCAGGGTGGTTGTGAGCAACCCAAGTGTCGTTCTTTAGAACACAGGAACTGCAGTAAGAATGTGCTATCGATGTACAGGGGTTGATGATGTAAAAATATATTCTTATACTATGATCAGAATTAAAAGCACAAAAGCGTCTCCTTAGAAATGACTGAACCCTGAAGGCAGAAAAACCCCTAACTTAAAAACACTCGTGGAAACCATTCAGGTATTCACCGTCTCAAAAGACAGCAAATTACCCTTCAGCCCACTGAAACCAGAGGTGAGAACAGCACCAGCTTACACAGCTCCACTGGTAACAGCGTCCACCACCCTTTACTGTATGAAGAACTGCTCCTTTCCACCAAAAGGACGTTAAGAATTCTACCCCAGCCACGTGTGGGCAAAGCTGTGTCAAATACCGAACCAGATGGTCCAACACCCAAACTTCTTGACACACTGAACACAAAAATAAACCCTCCACACTGGGAACCCTCGGCCTTTCCGCCAGCTGCCGTCCCGTACGACGTGCTCCGTCCCAGCCCGCCCCCCGAGCCCCGCTGCCGGCCGGCCCCCGTGCCCGGGGAGCAGAGACCCCACAGGGCTCTGCACGGGAGAAGGCCGCAGCCGGAAGACGTGGTATCTCAGGCTACATGTATTGGCTGTTACTGTATTTTTAGAACGCAGCAAAGGATTAATAAATGTACGTAATTAAAACAGGTGAATGTATGTAATTAAAACAGGTTATTCGTCAAAATCAATACCATTAATAGTGTGAAACCTGTAAGGCCTTGTTTGGAAGTATTTCCCTCACATTTTAATGGTTTTAAGAAACGAGCCAGAAATTACTGTCTGGGATGTCTTTCTTGATAATTTAAGTACAAGAATTTCATTCACCCTGTGCATAATCCCTGTACGAAAACGGCGTACTGATCCTTCTGCTGCAGGCGTGAAAAGCTGCTATGATAGAAAAGAGTGCCACTAAAAAAAGTGAAGATTCAAGGAAAAATTCTCAATTACTCTGAAGCTTCTTACTGTGCTTATGCAAAGGGAGTTTCAGTGGCTGGAAACACAACCTATTCCCATTTTACCACATCCTAGCTCTGTCAGGGTAACACGAAGGCCCTAGAGTGAACATAAACTTTTAGGAACACTAGAGTAAACGTACGTTCTTCACGGTCAGATCTGAGAGGGGGCCCTCTTCTGAGGGGAGGATCTCTGTCATCAGCACGTCTGTCTCTCATGTCACGACCACCTCTGTCCCATTCTTCACGGCGACTTGAATCTCGCCAGCTAGAAGTTTCCTCAGCTGGTCCTCTTCTCCAACCAGCATCATCCCTTTTGCCATGCAACACAAAAAATAAGACTAAATGTTAAGATTTTACCTTTTCTATGGAAAGAAGCAATAATAAATCATGACACAGGTATTTTCAGGCCCAGTGGGTCTCTAACTTAACATACTGACATACTTCCAAAACATTTTCTGTTTTTCTGGAGCCTAACGTGAAATTCTCTTGGTAACAGGTTAAAAAGAAAAATTAAAAGCAGTAAAGATTTGGGATTCCTTTTGTAAACAGTTAATGTCATCTTAAAGATAACAAAGCAAAAAGGCACCAAAATGCCACCACCCTTTTACTGCCTTAATTTCATACCAACCAACGTCACATTATTTATCAGCAGGGCACTTTTTTTGTTTCTCGTGTGGTTTGGTTGTTTTGTTTTGTTTTAACAGAAACATTCTGTAAGTATTTAAACAGAGAAGTCAAACCTGGGACGCCTGAAACGATCGTCTCGATCAAAATCTCTATCTCTGTCAAATTCCCGGTCTTTCTCGTTTTCATCACGATCTTTGTCTCTATCCCATTCGCGGTCTCCTGGAGGTCTGGAGTCTCGGGGAGGCCCCCAGCTGTCCTCACGAGCCTTTTCTCGTTCTCTCCATCCCCCTAGAAGTCAGAAACACAGCCAAAGGAATTTGTGACTGACCTCTGATCTCTCTGTAGACAAAGAATCCTTTACCTCCCTCAGAGAAACTGGTTCTTCGAGTTTTGACCCCTGAGGATCCAACTCAAGATGCTCCTAAAAAAGGGTGCACATTGAGTGGGAGCCATAGGCAAACCAGGGTAGAAACTGCTTCACAGAAAGGCAGGGACATACACCTCCTCTCTCGGGACAGTTTAGCAGAGCTGGTAACACCCAGCAGCTTTCAGTCAGAAACCACCAACTCCTCAAGGGTCTCGTGCAAAACAAGTGCAGGAAGAAGGATGGGGGGGGGGCAGCTTAGACAGCAGATTCCTTTGTGAAAATCTGCAAGTGAGGAGATTTTAGGCAAACAAATTTTTGAAGAACTTAATGCTTTTCAAAGCACTGCTTTCAAATACAACTAGCGTTTACCATCTACTCACACAATGCATCCTGCAATATCTTTGTTCGGTTATTTACGAATGGGAGTTCTTTATTAGGCAGCCTGCTTCTTTAAACAGGAAAAAGGAGAAAGCTATTGCAGTGCAAGTTTTGAGATTTATGATAAGTTTTCTACAGGTTTGGATTACAGAATTAAGTGTCTATAAATAAAGCTGATGTGGTGCCTGTGAATACATGAATCTGAATAAAAAGAACCAGGAAATCAAAATCACATCTAACATTTAAATGTCATCAACCGTTCTAAAAAGAATCAGAAACAGTTGTTCTAGCCACCATCAACAAGATTTAAGACTAGAAAAGATCTACAGAAGAATAGGATAATTCAGACTGTACGGGACCTCAGAAGGTCATCTAGTCCCAACTCCTGCTCAAAGCAAGCTTTTCAAGAAAGGTAGGCACAAAAGCAAAAAAAAAAAAAGGAATGGTAAAACCAGGAATATCTTTGTACACATAAAAAAGGCTTAGCAAAACCAGACCCACTTGAACAATGTATCAAAATCCTCCTCAGAAGGAGGTTCATTTCAGCCACAGAGAGGGAGCAGGGAAAGAAAAAAAAACTAATCTAGTGGGAATGTTTCTCTCCCATCAGAGCATTCAACTTGTGTATTTTGGCTTTCCTATGTGACCTTTAGGTATCTTCCAGGCAAGCAACAGACACCACTGCACTTAATCAACCAAATTAACAGGTTTCATTATACTAAGTAAAGCAGTGTCCACATTAGCCAAATTAATCCAGAGGTTTTCAGAGCCAATTCTCCCATCTCTGACACCAAGTACATTACATCCACTACCCACTCGGTTAACACACCCTTTGGAGGGAAGATTATTATCACATCTTACCTGGTTTACCAAATGGTCTCCAAGGACCTGGCCTTGAATCATCACCGCTACGCCACGGACCCCTGTCATCATCTCGCCTGGAGAGCCTGTCATCATCTGCGCTACGCCACGGTCCCCTGTCATCATCACGCCTTGACATCCTGTCGTCATCCATCCCCCGCCTGGGGCCC